CATTTTCAAAATGGTCGTGACGAAAGGTTTCGTCAAATTGACGTGACGAAATGTTTCGTCATCGTCAAGTATCATTAGTCGTGATGCAACAAAAAACTGCGAGATCGAATCGGCATTACTAACAATTTAACTTTTTGACAGCAATACTTGTAACTTTTGGCTATGGTCTGAAACAGCCAGTTATTAATCCTTTAATTCAATCATCACTGTTTGCAAAGATAAATAATATGTTCGTTTTAATTTTCGTATTAGTAAACATTTATATTATATAGCGATAGATTATTGATCTTCACGAATTTATCTAATGATTGATTGATCTCCCGCACTGACTGCCATTCGTATGACTACAGCGAAATTTTTAAGAATTTGAAACAATTAATTTGGTAATTTATTCTGTTACCAATGAATATACATGTAAAAGTTTTTATAAGTATATGGTCTTTTTTGCTTACTAAACATGCTTCAACTACTGGTTCACTTATTAATATTCATTATACTCTCATATTGCATTTTATGTAATTAAATGTGTTTTGAATGTGTATCCCAATGTCATTACAGAAAAAGGCGAAAGTAATGGCAGTACGATGTTTATATAATTAAATTTTCAACGGGTAAACCAGTAAATTTTTCCCTCATGGATAAAGTCATCGAACAAATAGTTTACCGGGCCAAAGCAATACCGTAATATAACCATGCTTTTGAAACAATTCGAAGCTTGATTAAAGAATAAATGCGCTACAAAAAATCTATATTTTCTGCAAGCAATTAAAGTCACACGTCTATTTAGTGCCAGTTCCAAAGGTATACTTGTTCTATAAATCTTTATATAGCTATGCTATATATATTTATTCTATATACAGTCAAATGCCAAATGAAGTGGGTCTGACATCTAGATATAATAAAATCGCAATATACATGTAACAACATCACCGATTATTAGTAGGCATATTTTTGCTAGAGATGTGACAAATATCTGTGTAACATCGTATTTGATAAATAAGAATGAAATATACCGTTTTTTTCTTGATTTGAAAAATGCCTGACACTGAAAATAGATATTCAAGCGACGAAGAAATAAACGAAGAAAACATCGATGAATTTGATCCACTCTCACTTCAATCGGACGAATTTCGTCCTGAAACACGAATTATCCATAAAAAATGTTTTGATTGTGAAAAACTTAGAACAAATTTTGCGTGGTGCCAATCTTGTGAAACTACTTGGTTTAAAGAAAACTATTCAAGATGGACAACTGGCAATTTGCAACTTGATTTAATTATACAGAAAAGCCAAGCTGAGGCGAATATAAGCGGTGATTATC